CTTCACGGTCAACCTTCTTAGCGATCGGTCCTTCCACTAGGTCACACTTCGCAGTCGGCCCCCCTTACGATCGGTCCTTCCACTCGGTTGGCCCTCCTCGTGATCGGTCCTTCCACTCGGTCACCCTTCGTGGTCGGCCCTCCTCGCGATCGATCCTTCTACTCGGTCACCCCTCGCGGTCTGCCCTCATCGCGATCGGTCCTTCCACTCGGTCACCCCTTGCGATTGGCCCTCCTCGCGGTCAGTCCTTCCACTCGGTCACCCTTCGCAATCGGCCATACTAACCCGGTTTTCTCTCACACAACCACCCTCCCATCCCCGTCTTCTTCGTTATTCCCTTCGTTGGACTGAAGTTACACTTGGGAATGGGGGACTACTGACATACGTGGGCCCATAGGGGTCTTTGACCCACCACTTAAAGCCCAATCCATGATTCAAATACTAAAGCCCAACGTTCTTGGAACCCAGCATTGCACCAAGAATCAATGACATCTAGACACTTGTCAAGAGAAGAATCAACCATATAAGCAAACAAAGATCCTGCAGAGTTATTGCACCACACATCAGCCATTAATGAGTTTCTCTGTAGCATTTATTACGATAACCCCTTCATGACGGAACAGGACAGCCTCACCATGAACAAGGCAAGCTAGAACATAGACTTTCGGCTAATATGACAAGTCGGAGTGGACAAAGAAATGATGAGCAAAGGATATAAGGAGGCTTCTAAGGCAGGAAGAAGATTAAGTTCTCTATCACTATCCTATCTCTATACTCCGTTGATTCTCCTTCTCTAACTTGTTCGTCGGAGGGTTCGCTGGGGGAGTCACATTCCCTATTGAACTCTTGTGCAGGTCTCTCAGTGGGCCAGCGATCGGACAACCGTGTGGGAGGCCTGGATCAACCCGACCCGTTACCCAGAAACAAGTAGCATCATTAGGCTGGATTTTAACAAATTAAACCATTTAATTAATTTTTACATTATTCTAAATTAAAATAAATATTTTTTTACAAACATACAAAATCATACCTATATTTTATTTTTTAAAAATTTTTACCATATCAACATATCCGTATCATATCAATACTCGTATCCATACCCATACTTCATCGGTTGTCACTCTGCCTCCCATTATCATCTTTCTGAAAGTGACCATTTCTTCACTAATTAGGGCAGTCCACCTGGTCTAGTTTTTATTTAGCTTAAAAAAAAAAAAACTTACTGTTCTATTCAAGTTTGTTTAGCTGCATGATTATGTGGAACGAGATTACGAGTAAAATAGATTTGAGTGATTCAATTACTAACATTTTTAATGGTTTAAATTTTTTGACTTGTTAAGACGCACAAAAGTCAATTTTTAACTACTCTAATGGAAACTTATTATTTTAGCACAATTATTTGTTAAATTTAACTATTTTGTGTTAAAGTCATGATAATTTGGATGATTTCAACCCAATCCAATCAGATCCAACATCTGGCACCAAATTGATTTTGCCAAACATTGAATCAAATTTGACTTGTGATTTAACTTTGTCATATTTTAGTTAGAGCAATAGCACCCCATTTGAGCACCAATTTTGTAAAGTGGAGCATTTTTAACTTTGATATGATCAATGGAGCAACCGTTGAAAATGCTCTAGTGATAGAGGATGTTTGACAAGTTAGGATTTTAGTAGGATTTTAAAATAAAATAAAAAAATAAAAATAAAAACACTAAGAAAAGGCCTTCATAAAAAGGAAATAATCAATTATTTCCAAAATATTGACTAATTATAAAAATAAATAATTAGGATATTTGACATAGTAGTTGTGTAACACCTTTGTAGTGTGAGATCTCGGATTCAACTCTTATAAAAAGGAATTTAATACCCTTTGTAGTGGTTGTTTATTTCTCTCCATTATGGCATTATGGAGGTTGTGAAGATGGTTTATTTGAGTGGGCCTGGTATACTGGTTGTGTTAATTTTGTTGACTTTTTAGTTATTGTAGGCTAGTAGTATTTTGATGATGTAAATATTTGTCATACTTATAATTACTCTCTTATCGATTGACATAAAAATAATAAATAAAATAAAATAATAATAATAATCAAAAATGAATATTGATTTCCAAACTTTAAAATCAATGGAAAATATGTTTGAAGATTTTTTTTAAAATAAATATTTTCTTATGTTTGGTTGCAACTTAATACTAAATAGTAGTTATATTGTTGGCGGTGGCGAGGTGATGGAGGTGTAGTTTTGTGATGGAGTGGGCTGGTGGTGGTGGTAAGATTTTCGTCTGGTAAATATTTTTCACATTTCAAAAATAAATCATTTCTTGTCTAAATAAGTTTGTTTTTTATTCTACCAAATACTAAAAAAATATGATTATTTTTTTTTTTTTTTTTAAATATTCTCTATCAAAACAAACAGTGCAAGACTTAAGTTCAACCAGGACATATAAACACAAAAAATGAATCAGCACTAAAGGAATAGCTAGCCCATTATCTAGGGTATGAATATCTTAGCAGGAAATCCAAGCCTATTAAAGCCATATATTTTAATGAATATATAGAACATTGGTTCTACTGTCCTTGTAATCATTTTGGTAATATAAACTACGGCAGCTAAAATTCATCAATTATTGTACTGTTTGGTGTAACTATTAAAATAGATTATACATTATAACTTAATTAATTATAAATTATGATTTTAATCAAAAGTTATTAATCTGTTTGGTGTAATTGTTAGATTATAGATTTAAGTTGCTGAGTAGTGTTTATTAAATAAGCTGTGAAATAACTTTTCAATTAATTTTTATTTTTTATTATTCACTATTTGCCTACATTTCTTATAAAAAATAACAATAATATTCTATAATCTATTTGGGTCTTTTTCTATTTTTAAAAAAATAAAAAATAAAAATAATCTAAGAGTATAACTATGAATTAACATGTCCACAGCAAAAACTGATAATCAGAAGTAAGGGGTGAGCAGCTTCTCAAATCAACTTTTTTGACTTAAAATAAGTTGTTAAAATCAAAATTTATTTGAAATAAATTTAACCAAACAGTCCAAAATAACTTTTTAAAAACCAGAAATCATAAGTTGGCTCAAAAAAATCCTACCAAACACCCCCATATGTATATTCTTATTACCCTTATGTGATTTAATTCAGTGCATGTAATCTTACTCTTATTCGAATAGCTTGGAGTCCTTGACTGGAATACTTTTATATCCAGAAACTTGTGGCTTCTTTTCTACATTGCGACTGACCTGAGCTAGCTTACAATTCCATAGGCAATGAATTTCACTTTACAAGCATTGAATAAATAGTTTTGTCATGTGCTAGAGTCAATGAAATTTTGCATTCAAAGAAAAGTGATTTGTAAGGGTGTTCAAAAAAATTGATGAAACAGGTAAATTGTTTGACCTGGTTTTATTAGTTTTGGTTCTAGTTTTGAAAATGGTAAAATCATTCAAATATCCAGAAACTTGTGGCTTCTTTTCTACATTGCGACTGACCTGAGCTAGCTTACAATTCCATAGGCAATGAATTTCACTTTACAAGCATTGAATAAATAGTTTTGTCATGTGCTAGAGTCAATGAAATTTTGCATTCAAAGAAAAGTGATTTGTAAGGGTGTTTAAAAAAATTGATGAAACAGGTAAATTGTTTGACCTGGTTTTATTAGTTTTGGTTTTAGTTTTGAAAATGGTAAAATCATTCAAATCAATTTTGTCAATTCCGAATCGAACGGTGACATATTTATTTATTACTATTTTTTTTTATATTTTTAAATGTAAAATTTAAGATATAATTTTTTTTTTTATAAGATTTGAACATTAATCTTCATTGTGAAATTGATAAACTCTAACTAACTTAACCAAATTAATTAGGAAAATGCTCTAATATGCAATGCACACCGTATTACGCAAGTTTTTACGAATTTACATAAATGATCTCACCAAAATGTGTAAGTCGAACACAAATTCACGTAAATTACACGAATTTGTGTTCAACTTGTACATTTTTGTGTTAAGATTGCATATGGTGTGCATTACACACCGGAAATTATTTTTAACTAAATATTGTTAGTTTGTTTACTATAATAAAATATATATCATATTTATTGTTATATAAGATTTATAGAACAATAAAATTGAACTGAATTAAACCAATTTTTCAACAATGCTAAAGGGCCAGAACTGATTATAATGCTAGAGGGCCACAATTTTTGTGGTCACAATGGCTCAAAACTGCCAAAACGACCCAATTTTTGTGGTCACAATGGCTCAAAACTGCCAAAACGATCGTTTTGGCAGTTTTGAGCCATTGTGACCACAAAAATTGTGACCCTCAAACATTTTCCTTTATATAATTCAGTTCTGGTCCAATTTTACATGTTTAACGGTTTGATCATTGTTTTAAATTTTTTAAAACCATAAGAACCAGTTTGGTTCCTCGTTTACTCTAAAATCAGACCAATCTAATCGGTGGACACCCCTAGTGATTTGCACTCTTCTTGTGCCAAGAAAAGTTCACTTGCCATTGTATTGCTAAAAATCTTATTTTACTCATTATTCGATCCTGGTATAACGTCATCATTGCTAAAAATCTTATTTTACTCATTATTCGATCCTGGTATAACGTCATCAAATAATATGATTTGCACTCTTCTTGTGCCAAGAAAAGTTCACTTGCCATTGCATTGCTAAAAATCTTATTTTACTCATTATTCGATCCTAGTATAACGTCATCAAATAATATGATTTGTATCATATAAAACGTCACATCGGATGATAGTGAGATTTGGTCACCACAGTATTACTATGGACATAATTGTTTTCATTCCAGAATTTAGTTATATTCTCACATCCACCGTTAAAATGGTAATTTTTGTTTGCGAGACGCAAAATTCCTTGAGAGATCATCAACAGGGTCCTGCAACATTTTTTGAGCATCATGGTAATCAACTTATTCAGGTCTCCAACAAGAAATGTGATCGTGGTCATGATTGGCACAAACAAAAAGCTTTTCTAGTAAACATAAATTGGCACGTCACTGCTACAAAAGAATTATATTTGAGGTTCACCTAACAAATAAACCTACAAAACACAATGGTATATAATCGAAAAATTCACTGTGTAATGCACACATACTTAAAAAGGCAAATTAGAATAGAATCGACGGTGCACACAACTACACATATAATACAATCAATCACGTATTCAGGCACTCTTAGGTGAACGATTGAACAATCGATGAGGTGGTGACCAAACCAGAGAGGAGGCCAACTATAAGGGCACCGTTGTAAGAGCTTGGCTCCGTTTGCATTGAATTGTTCCGTGAATCAACAAAGGTCTCATTGAGAAAGGGCCCACCCACGAGTGCTCCAACTGCAACATTGGGATTGGGGTCAGTTGAGTTGAGCCACTTCCAACCATCACTGCAGCCGGTGGTTGCATCAGTTGGAATTGAGGCTCCCCTATGGTGTACATATTGTGGGTATTTATCCCCATACCCCACAAGAAAACTCATCTTCATGGGATTATTGCCCAAGACATAATCAGCCTGGAAGAAGAAAAAAGTGCAAGGTTAGAAGCGATGTTACCAAAAAAATGCTAATACTCCTTAATGATATACGTTTTGGTATGCACGTTCCAAAACATAGTACATTTTCGTTCCAAAAAGGTGAATTTTGTGATCCAAAGCGATTCCAAAATTTATTTCCACTATATTTCCTTAAAGTCTCGTTAGGAGGAAAGAAAACAATATATATATATATATATATGTAATAAACTACGATATCAGAGTTGAGTTTTGGATAACCAATTGTACAAAAATTGGTTATAATATTCATACGAATGTGTTTTTACATGATTAATTTGAAAAAGTGAACTACATTTTGTTGGATGTCTAATTGTTCTAGAAGTATCTTAAATTCTAACAGCATAATCTAGATAAGTCTATCCCTATTATACCACATTTTAGAATATGTAGCGTACAACATACTCATTCTCATTCCACGTATCACAACAATCCACATTCTAGGTTACATAGGTCAGAAATATATATATTGGTTGTGTTTAACAGTCATCAGTTAATCCTTACCGCATCTTTTGAGTTTATGCATGTGCTTCTAAACCAACAATCAAAAGCGTACCTGTGAAGCAGAAAATTTCCGAAGATCTGACGGTCCGTAGGAATCCCCATTGCAAGATAGCGTTGCAGTCCGGGATGTAAGCATATAATCACTGTAAATTACAGCTAAGAATGCAGAAGCCACAGGATGCTGCAAAGCATTCCATTGACTGACCCATATCAGACCACCTACATTAACAGATTATGATGGTGAGTCATAAAGATCCTACGAATAAATTAACTTACATAAATGACACCATAAGATGGGCCTCATAGCCACATAAAGTTTCATACAATGAGCAGAGTCGGTCAATCCATAGGGAGGCTAAGGAATGACTATTCCATTCCACATTCATTCTAGTGAACCAAACACTACCTGAGGAGTATGATTAGAAGATGCCACACACTTCGAGGCATATATAATAAATAGCTTTAACTTTGGTCTAAAGGTACTATAGACAGGATGATTCCATCCCATCCCTGACTTTATTAACTAGTTGATGCATTCCAATTGCTTGACATCTTCCAGCAATGATAGAGAAAGTAAGATTGAAAATGATGGGACAAGGGAGTTTTTGACTTTGAAATGTTCGAGTAAAATCATTTAACGACTTTATCGCACAAGTGAGATATCTTTCTCATACTTACTGTAACTTTCCACTTATTAACGGTATTGTATCTACCAAGGTTTGTGTGTGTGCGTGCACGCGTACTAGTGGAGGTTTATGAGGAGTTAGATATGCAACAGTAATCATTTGAAGAACAAGGAATAAAGAAGAAAATTAAGCATTTGACTAATCAAATTGAGTAGCAATGGAATAGAAGTTTACTTTCTGTTCTGCTCAATGTGGCCGTTGGAGATTTTGGCAGGAGCCCACACATAACAGCCTCGGCCGTTTTCCTGTAATTCTGGAGGTTTCCTGAGTTGGAGACTTTTGAATCAAAAAAACTTAACCTAGACAACAAGACCTGCAGCACAATTTCATAATTTTTTACTGAGTCCAAAATTACGGGTATGCCAATGCAAGATCACAAAACTGGATATCGGATTTATTTCATTCACACACGCAACCAAAAATCATTCTAGATTGGACAAATCTGACAAATAAACTTTTCTTTGACTATTGTGATTTTCTATGTTTACAACTTACAGAATCTGCTTAAGGTATCATAATTAGAAGCATGCATCTGAATTCAAGGCCACAAAAATATGATAACTAGTACAAACTATTACTAGAGTAACCTTCAAGGCCATGTTTGTTTGGGGGGACATGGCCTTGGGATGGACTAATAATCCAACAAAATACATAGTCACATGTTTGTCTAAGAAAATTGGGGTCTGGTTTATCCAGACATGTTATTTCACACAGGGGACTAAGAAGAGGTTCGGATTAATTAGCTAAATTACAAAATTGATAGGCTTTCACTACAACATATAAAAGTTTTAGAGACCAAATTTTTTGGTCTTTAAAAGTGAAAATTTTGTTACAAAAGACATTTAAGGACCAATTTATATCGTCGTGAGAATAGCCGTTAAAAGGTCGTCCTGAAAACTAAAAAATAAGGCTTTAGTGACAAATTTTTGAAAATGTCACTAATAAATACACTTTTAGGGACAAAATAATTTGGTCTTAAAATGGTTTATTTTCTGAGGCAAAAATTTTGGTCCCAAAAAGATAATAATTCATCATTAATGTCCAATTTTCGTTGCTAAAATTATAATGACGACACTCTTCGCAACAAAAATATTTGGTCCCAAAAAAATAATTTTGTCTCTAAATTTTGGTCTCTAGAACCTTAATTTTTATTTTTTATTTTTTTTGTAGTGTTTTGTCGATCCCTCCTCATAATTCTAGGCCAATCCAAACATAGGATAGGATACGCAATCCAAAAACAATAATAATCCTAGGACTAGTCCTAGGAATGCTAATTCCACCTAATCCAATCTGCCCAAACAAACATGGCCTAAAATTTAACTCATAGGAAATTGAAATATACCTGAGTTCCTGCAAGCTTGTTATCCCAACTAAACCAGGTTGGATTTCCCCAATTAGCAAAAGCTTTTCCATTTGGTCCAGTCACATAATCAAAATACGATTGATCCCCTGTAGCATGATAGAGCCAGCTAGCTGCCCACAAAAGCTCGTCTCCATAACCTGTTGAATTGTAATAGTTCTGGACTTGGGGAATGCTCTTACTATAAGAACCTCTATATTTGTCGGCAAAACTAAACAACTGTTGTGCATGCCTAAGAAGTGAGCTTGAATATGTGGAGTCGATTGACTTAAAAACCAGGGATGCCGATGCCATAGCTGCTGCAGTTTCAGCAGCAACATCTGTTCCAGGGGAAGAAGTGTTCACCTGTGTGAGAGGCCTTTTCTCAGTCATGACCTCAGGCCTATCCCAACATTTATGGTCTATATCTGGATCACCTACCTATTCCAGAAATAAAACAGTGATTAGAAAGAAAAAAAACAAAACAAAAAAATAGCAGACTTACTCTTACAATCAGAGAGGATCAATGTTTGACCATTTAATTCACTTGTGCAAAAAACTTTTCAAACTAGTATTTCATGTCCAACATAACATATTTCAGTTATTACTATTTTGAGACAAGAGAAGCTAAAACACATATCTAGATACTTTCAAGGATTCTTCATATACTTCTAAAGAAAGACATAATGAAAATACTACGTATCCTGTTAGCATTTCAGAAAATTTGACATAGCAAATCCCAAAATAGACAAATAAATTTAACCTTTACTACACCTAATCATGGCCAACATATTGCACTAGATATTTCAAAAATCATGAAAATGCTTCAAAATGTAGCAATTGTGACAGGTAATAAGGAAGAAGGACAAAAGATGACCATAAGCAAGTGCACATGCAGGCTCAAAAATAGATAAGAGGAGTTTATAGGAATCAAAGATTAGAGAGACCTGAATATAAAGCACATTGTCCGAAGCATGAGCATTAATAAGGTAGTCCGTGATCCACTTAAGCGAGGCTTGAGCAGGTTTTAACTCATTAACCGTTTGCATCTGATCCCCATATTCGAGGATTGCCCATGACAACACTGTGGCAGTAAAAGCCATTGGAAATCCAAACTTCATATGATCTCCTGCATCATACATTCCTTTTGAAAGATCCAACTTTGCGTCACTGCCATCATCAACTGCCGAATCCCCTCTCCAAGATATGTTATTATTTACCAACTTACCAGCTGCAAGACCAAAATTACATTTGTACCCACAATCAAAATCTATACAAGACAATTGAAAAAAGAAGTCCAAAATAACATTTGCAACACAATCAAAATCTATAGAAGACAATTTGTCCAGAACCCTCCCTGGTCGGTTAGACCTTTGCTGATTTGGGATTCAGCTCATTGGGGCTCCCCTTGAGGAGTAGTGTCTTAGTTTGTTCTTCTTTCTGGTTTGGCCTTTTGGCCTCCATCTTACCCACAAAAAAAAAACATCATACAAATATCCCATTTAAAATGAAATGGCAACCATCTCCCCAATCTTAAGTTTTTAACAACAACAACAACTACCATCTTCCCATTAACTTAAAGGTCTTAAAGTACTCATTCCAGGTCAGTTAGTGTAGCTCTTGGTAGGTACAGATAAATACTAAGAAAAGCATCAAAAGACACAAAAATGGAGTCATCACCATGAATAATTAATTAATAACCAAAAGACAAGTTATGAACTTTACAAATACGTTGATGTATCTGCAGACATTACAACAACAAAAGCACACAAAGAGAAGCTTAAATCGAAAAAATTTGTAACACTATTCTACCAAAGAGTTCAAAGGCAAAACAATTTGGAACTATTCAACAAAAAAAAAAAAAAAAAAAACATTTATGCGGTATTGAATATAAGATCCGGAATGGAACAAAACCCATATTGTAGAATGTATGAAACAGAAGAAAGAGCTTACATTTTTGTACATCAAAGAACCGCATTGCAAGGTTGAGAGCATTGCCGTATTGCTTATCAACAGCACCAGGAGGCCCAGGAACAGGACCCAAGTGAGGCGAAGAGTGTTTGCTAGTCTTCTTTTTCACAGTAAGAACAACTGCAACCACAATGCAAGCCACCAAAACTAAGACAAGGAACCACCCGCATAGTCCTTTCGACTTGGAACGCTCCCCCATTTGATTTCACCAACAAAGAATGTGAAAATTCAAGATCTAAGTCAAACCCAGATGAAATTTTCAATAACCAGAGCAAGTTGCAGAAGCAATAATATTTTACTATTTTATTATTGAAATGCAACAGGATTTGGGGCTTAACAAGGCAATATAGTAGAAAAGAGCAGTGATTTGAATCAAGAAAGGATGAGAATGGATTTGAAGAGTTGGATCTGAACAATGGGTTGAAGATCGGAGCTGATCGAACAAGAGGAACAGGAAGAAGAATGAGATCGTGGTTTGCTTTCTACGGAGAGAAACAGAGAGAAAGAGAGAAGTACTCTTTCCTCTTCACCGACAACAGGAGCTCCGTAGATAGGAACTAAAGTTTTTGCGGCTTTGTGTGAAATGACCATAATGCCCTTTATGGTTGGGAGGATTTTTAATTCGTTTAAACGACGTTGGTGATGACGACGAATGAGAGCAGTTCATTGCGACTCATGCGGAGGAGGGAGGACCCGAATCTTTTGGCATGTTTGATTGGAAAGATTAAAGCATAGGATTTGGATTATTAATTCGTGGGTCCAATCATTCTATGTTTGTTTTGACATTTTAGTTTAGGATTATTAATCCAATGGATAATTAATCCAACAAATTTGTAGGATTATTAGTAATGGGGTAGGGGTGGGATAACTAATACCACACTAATTTAATAGGATTATTAATACCTCACTACTAGTGTTGTGAATTAAACATGGCCTTTGAGTATTATTCGGATAAAATACTCCCCTCATAAATCCAAAATTTTAAATATATATATATATATCCCTCTCTTTAAGTTTGTTTTTTTTAGCTTTTCAGTTAAAAAAAAAAAATTAAAAGTTAATAGAATAAATTATTATATTTAAATTATAATTTTTTTTTTCTCATAAAAATTTTAAAAATCCAAAAAAACCAACCCAAACCAATTTTTTAGTCCCAAGCTAAAGAGTTGTTTTGAAAAGTTAGTTAAAAATTGACTTTTTAATTTTTTTAAAGAAATTTATAAAAAAATAAAAAATGATATGACTTGAAATAAATTAAAAGTTAAAAGTAACTTTTTATCCATTTATCAAAAAAAGTCAAAATAACTCCTCATTAACTTTTTATTAACTTTTCAAAACACCACATAGTGTCACAATATAGTAAAAAGTCACGTTTGCAGCTTGGAAAAAAAAAATTATATTTTGACTTTTTTAGTAAGAAATTATTTGGCAAAGTGAAAAAAAGTTATATAGAAAATTATAATTATATCTTTTATATTATTTAGGATTATACATGGGTGAATTTGTATAAATTTTCTAAATTGAGTGGGATAATTTGGTCATTTGATTGTGATGTGACATTATAAATAAATATTAATAAAAAAAATAAAAAATAACTTTTTACTAATTTCCCAAATCACTTTTTAAAAAAAATCAAAAAACTTGATAAAAAATAAAAAAATAAATTTTTACCATCTTTCCAAAACAACTCATAATATTAATAACGATATCCAAAGATGACCCAAATGCTGCCTCACCATCACATCACATATTTAATAATTTGAGAGAGAATGTAAAGAAAGAAACCTTTCCTATGAATTTTATCATATTTTTTAAGGGTGATGCACCAATTCACCTGCACAGTGGCAGATAAAGTATTATCTACCAAGATGTACAAGGAGTTGTATTAGGGAATTTTTTTTAAAGATCCCTCGTATTAAGAATTTATAGTATAAAGAATATGAAATATTTTCATAATAGTTAGAATCCTTTAAATTTTTATAGAAAAATTTTGAAATAGAGAAATTTCGATTCAGAGAAATTTCAAATCAGAGAAATTTTAATAAATTTCTCTCATTTGTTCAATTTCTTTAATTTTCTCTATATTTTCAAAATTTACCTGTTTTTTGAAATTTCTCTAATTTGATTACAAATTTCTCTATATTTTGACCAATTTTATCAGGTTTGCTCACAATTTTCTCTGTATTTTGAACAAACCAGAGAAAATTGAGTTACTTAAAAACCAAAAACAAAGAGACCAGAGAAAATTGAGTTACTCACAAACCAATTTTCTTTCTGTGGTTCTTAAAAGGTGATCCAACATAAAGCCTAATGATAGGTCTGTGATGGTAAGTGATGGAGTGGCGATTGCCCAAAACTTATAAAACTAATATAACAATTACAAAACCCCCAGCAGAATTCCATAATCCTTGTGACATATTCAACATCACAGTTCAATATTCAACACAAAACTTAATACATATATATATATATATATATACGAATTATATATAGACTGCGAAAGCTAACAAAAAAACTTTTTTCAGTCCAAAAATCAAAATTAATCCAAAATCTGGAAAACACTCAGTAGAGAAAACCTGTTGTGTGCTACACAATATAGCGGACCTAACACAAATCTTTTCCGTTGAGTGTCCTCCTAACGCCTTCCAACACCAAAAACGTGGTCTTCAGTGACCTCGTCGATCCTCTCGCAACGATCTCATGTTGGGGCAACATCTCCTAATTGTCCCTATTATTCAACTCCACCACATTCCAAATTTTCTTCTGCATGATCGAAACCCTAACCAAAGCTGATTGTTGAAGCTTTCGAGAAGGTACAAATTGAGAGTACTCTCTCTCTCACTCTTGCGGCGAAGGTTTTGGTGTCGCCAAAAACAACCGCGACGATGATGTGGTTGAAGGTTTCTAGTACAAGATAAGACGGTTAGGTTTCCGGTGGTATTCCAACAATGCAACGAGGATGTCGAAATTAGTGTTGGTAGGTTTGAAACCCTACAGCTCTGAAACCTAGAGGAGAGAAAGAGAGAGTGTGTGTGTGTGTGATATATAAGTGTGGGTGAGGATTTTAGATTACAAAAAGAAATATTGTGGATCTCTCTTATTACTAAAAATTAGAAAGGAATATTAAATACACACACACACACACACATATATATATACACACACATATATATATATATATATATGTGTGTGTGTGTGTGTGCGGATTATATATAGATTGTAAAAGCTAACAAAATAAGATTTTTCAGTCCAAAAATCAAAATTAATCCAAAATCTGGAAAACACTCAGTAGAGAAAACCTGTTGTGTGATACACAATATAGCAGACTTGACACAAATCTTTTCCGTTGAGTGTCCTCCTAACGCCTCCCAACACCAAAAACGTGGTCTTCAGTGACCTCGTCAATCCTCTCGCAACGATTTCATGTTGGGGCAACATCTCCTAATTGCCCCTATTATTCAACTCCACCTCATTCCAAATTTTCTTCTGCATGATCGGAACCCTAACCAAAGCTGATTGTTGAAGCTTTCGAGAAGGTACAAATTGAGAGTAATCTCTCTCTCACTCTTGCGGCAAAGGTTTTGGTGTCGCTAAAAACAACCGCGACGACGATGTGGTTGAAGGTTTCTAGAACAAGATAAGACGGTTAGGTTTCCGGTGGTATTCCAACAATGCAACGAGGATGCCGAAATTAGTGTTGGTAGGTTTGAAACCCTACAGCTCTAAAACCTAGAGGAGAGAGAGAGAGAGAGTGATACATAAGTGTGGGTGAGGACCTTAGATTACAAAAAGAAATATTGTGGATCTCTCTCATTACTAAAAATTAGAAAGGAATATTAGACCAATTTTCTCTTATATTAAAAGTGCAAAATTTTGGCCAATTTTTTATTTTATTTATTTATTTTTTTGAATTCCCCAGAATTCATCTAGGTTGAGAACCCCTCTCTCAAATTTTTTTACTATCTTTATTTTAATTCACTTATTATTTAATCGTATAATGTAATAGTAGGGATCAATAAGGCACTGTTTGGGAACTTAGTTGTTTGGTTTTTTTTTTTTACTAAAAGACAAATTGGTTAGTAAATCAAAAAAAAAAAAAACAAATCCAAACAAAATATCACATCAAATCCCATAATCATTTCACTTTTTCTCTCATAAACATAACATTCAACTATAAAAAAATCCAACTATCTTTCCAAACACAAAAAAAAATTTCTCCAATAATATTCTACAACTAAATTTTTTTACAAAAAAAACTCACTTCTTAAACAACCACAAAGTGAAATATCAAGTTCCAGTGTTACTTACGTAACCAATCATAAGGTAGATTCAAAACTGACATAACTGGCTTAAATATTTTTTCATTTTTTAAAATTAATTTTGATATGATATTAAATGAAACCTAATGAATTACAATTATTATGGTAAAAATCAAATATAATACATAAGACGTTGGATTTAATCTAGTGGTACTGTAATCCTACCTTAAAGTGTGGTGAGAGGAAAATTAGGAGTTTGAATTGATGAAACAATTACGAAATTGTACAAATATCGGATAAATCTAACTAATGTTGAATAATTTTCCAATCTTGACGGCATCAAAATGGTGAAAAGTAGACCTTACGTTGTTTTTGCTTTGAGAATTTAGAAAGAAATTTGGGAATAAAAAAAAAAATGTATAAAATTAAGTAAAATATAGGTATATTTTATTCATATTTCACATATTTTTATTTTTTTCTTTTCAAATCCCTCATCAAATCACTCAACCAAACACAGTGTTACTTTTCTTGCAAATTTTATTTTTTTTGAGGTGTTTCAAAAAAATAAGGGGTAATTACCAAAAAAAAAAAAAAATCTTAGAGTTTGATCCTTATAATAAAATCTTGATTTTTTTAATTTTGTTAATCTAAATCCTAAATTTTTTATTTTTTTCAATCTAAACTATTTTTCTATTTTCTTTGAGTAAAATCTACAAAAAAAAAAAGTGTGTATTTTTAACTATTAAACTCAATATAAGTGTACATAAAGGGTGTGTTTGATTGGACGGACTGGAAAATGGGGGATTAGAATCCATCGGACTTGAGTCCTGGGACTGTGAATCCCCCGGACTATTAGCTTCGAAATCGGGTCGATCTGAGCTTCGATGGAGCTTCGAATATCTGAATCTTCACTGGAAATCACTGAATCTTCAACGGAGCTTCGAAATCGGGTCGATCTGAGCTTCGATGGAGCTTCGAATATCTGAATCTTCACTGGAAATCACTGAATCTTCAACGGAGCTTCGAAATCGGGTCGATCTGAGCTTCGATGGAGCTTCGAATATCTGAATCTTCACTGGAAATCACTGAATCTTCAACGGAGCTTCAAAATCGGTTCGATCTAGAGCTTCGATGGAGCATCGAAATTGCTTCGATGGAGAAACAAGTGTATACCGCAACAGACGAGACAGACGAAATCGGTTCGATCTGGAGAAATTGCTTCCATCGAAATTGCTTTAATGAGAGGGTTGAGAGAAAGAGAGAGAGAGAGGGCTCAGATTC